GAACATATTCCGAGAATCTTGGCGAGAAACCCGGCAATCGCACTATAGAAGTGATCCTATAAAGTATGATCATACTTTCACATTCTAAATTCACTTGTACACTCCATCTTAATGAGGACTTTGTTCTAATAAAACGAAGTATCATATTCATAGGTTGGTAAATGTATGCAGTAATATGTGGGCGTAGTTTGCCCATTCTGAAATATTTAGTCTCCACCTATTTGATCAATTATATAAATCAAAATATATAAAAGGAAAATGGAAGACAATTGTATTTATCAAGAACGGGGAATCAGGGACTAAACTATATGTCCCATTAATGCATATTTCTTCATAGAACCTACTGTATTCCATCTGTTTTTAAGCGTGCTATTCCTTAAAAGATAAAAAAAATAACAATAATTTCAAGACGAGCCTTTCTTCCCTTTATACTCATTGCTCGAAGTCCTCAGTCTACTTTTGTTGGTCAATTCGTTTACCAGTTCTACCCAACTCTGGTTTCCTTCAAAACGCATAAATCTTTCGCCTTTTACTAAAGATTTCCGTGGAGGGGAACAACTCAATGAGTCTTACTCAATTTTTTCTATAGCCCACTTCGGTGGGTTCAAATGAGTTCATACAATAAGTTTCAATATGTAGAATTGTAATGGTTGTTGCATTCAGGTATTCGAATGTGTGTGTGTGATACGTACAGACACACAATATGTATGTGTGGGTCTGTGTATATATGATATATATATACATATATATGTACGTATAAGTGTGATACGTACATAACAATAATATACATGGGTGTGTGTATGTGTGAGTGTGTGTGAACACATTGTTTGATCATTTGTCGAATAAATGAGAAAATCTTTAGACTACAACATTAAAGGTATGGGAAACGTTGAAATCAAGAAAAACTTCCCTCACATATGAACAATCTATATAACAGAAACGGTGTATGGAGAACGCTAATTCATAATGAAGAGAAATAAAAATAAAATATAATAAAATAAAAAGTTTATTACATATCCAGAAACAAGGCCACTTGAGGGAAGGATATTGGGTTACTATGACAAAAATTACCAGCTACAATGGTTAGTCCTTAAAAAGAGAACATTTGAATAAATGTAACATTGCAAATTCCCAAAACATAGTGATACCTACATTGTCTATTTCCTTGGAAATGTATAAGATGGGATAACAGGGTACTGATCAATATGTTATACAAATTTGATAAGTAATTTATTAGTATCAGAATTAGTATATGAAGAATATTAAGGAAATTTTTCTTCTATTTAGTGTTTATCAAATGAACTCACTGGTGTACATATCAAATCAAAAGCATTTAAGAGATTATTGAACTCGGTAACGATTTATTAGTGAACACCGTAAACTTCTATATGAGATGCAATAATAATAATGTCAGCTAATAATAATAATAAAATCAGCTAGATCACACATAAAGGGGTACCACACACAATGTATTTCAGGGTAATTTACATATCACACTGGGTAAAAAATTGTTCATGCCAGACATTATCTTTAAAGTTTACATACTTCAACACATCTGAGAGAGTACAGAATGCACAATGCCAGACAAATTACCTGCTGCATTATGTCCGCCAGACACGCCCAAAAGTTGACCCCATACAGTGTTCTGGCAAACATCTATTGCATGAAAGGTAACATTCCACCAACTACAAAGTGACCCTTGCCAGACATACTGTCAGCTACATTAGGCTTACCAGACACCCAAAAAGGGCCTAAAAAATTACGGCTGCATGAACATTAT